CACATGGTTCGTACATGTTTGCAAGAGTTAGGTTGCATTGTTGCCTCTGCAACCCTTGATACAATCATGAATTTCCAGAGCCGAGATTGTTCTTGTTCTGAGCTAATGATGTTTTCATCTTTTTTTTTTCATATAAAATTTTGTTTGCTATCATTATATCGTCTTGAAACTCGATTTCATCTTGAAGGAAATTAAAGACGGTTTAGATCTTCACCCGCTTCTCTCTTCCCCAACTAGGGACTTCCTCCTTCGTAATGACGGCCAACATGTATAATCTTGTTTCTCTACTTCTCTCTCTCTTATGGTTGGCCCGATTTTGAGTTTATGGTCATAGATCCTTACTTCTGTCGATTGAACTATCATAGTGATTTGGCTTCAATCTATGGCTTTTGTTGTCCCTTCTTCTAGATTTCAGATTTGTTCATTTGTGTATTATATGCAGTAAATTGCAAAGTTTTTGGTAGAATTTTATTATGTGCTTGTTTTGTTATCTTCAGGTGAAGATTGACAGCTTGAAAGGGAAGATGATTTGACTGTGTTTTTCAGCTTCATGGTGCCGACTATGTCACTTATTCACTCCGCAGTTGGTGTAAGTGTACAATGAACACTCTCTGAAAGTTGGTTTCTGAGGTTGTCTTTGTGTCGGGCGATGAAGATGAAAAGTCTTTTAGAGATTGCTTCAGTTATATGCCATGGGTCTTTGTCCCGTTTACTGATTCAAAAACCCGTGAACGTTTGCATGAGATGTTTAAGGTTAGAGGAATTCCCAAACTAGTCATGATCAATGATCAGGGTAAAGTACTTGGGATTGAGAATAGCGTCGATGTCATTCGTAGCTACGGAGCTGATGCTTATCCTTTCACACGAGAGAGGATGAAGGATATAATAGAGGAAGAAGACATAGCTCGGAGAGAACAGGCCTTAACATCTGTCTTGGTGTCTCCTTCACGGGACTTTGTGATTTCCCAACACGGAACCAAGGTACACGCTTATTAATAGCTTAGTTATGAGATTAGGAAGAGTATCTAGAGAAGAAGACTTCCTGCACTAGTTGCTCTTTTTAGCTTTGTTGACTTAATGAAAGCTTATCAATTGTGTATTCACTAGGTACCCGTATCGGAGCTGGAAGGGAAAACCATCGGTCTTCTCTTCTCGGTGGCTTCATACAAAAGGCTCAAGAGTATGTTATTGGGCTGGGCCTGACAGATATCATATAGCCCATACGTATAATACAGTTATTATAGTAAAGCCCATTTAACATATAACTAAACGCAGTCGTTTAGCAGTAATCGTCCCTTTGTTCTTCGTCTTTCCTTTAGCTTCGAATCTCAGAGCCAGAGGGGAGGCAACGTCTCATTTGTCCTTTTGAGAGCAAAACAAATCTCTTAAATCCCTCTGTAATCTTCATGTCCCTCTATTGTTTAATGAAATTAGAATTGACAAAAATACCCTTATTAT